TGTTTGTAACTCTGTATTGTCTGTATTGTGCTTGTGATATGTTGTAAAATGTTGTATGTCTGTTAATGTTTCCCTCCTTTTATCCTTAAAATAAAAAAAAAATCGCAAAATATTAACAATAAAACTATAGTGAAACAGTCTGTGTTAGAAATTTCTGTAATGATGGAAATGTTCTGTATCTCTGTGGTCCAGTATTGTAGTGACTTGTCACATGGGACTATTGATCTTGAAATGTAGCTAGTAAAAAAACTGAAGACCTGAATATTTTAATTTAATATAAGCTCATATAGTCACACATGGCTTGTGTCTACTTTATTTGATAGCACGTCTTTGGAAATCATTGGCCCAGACCAGTCTTGAGTTTTTATTCCTGTGTCTTCATGCTTGAGTCTCCTGAGTTTTAATATTTTATCTTCCCTTTCCTTTAAAAAATAAAAATGTCTTAGTCAACTTTTTTCTTTCTTTTCTCTGAGACTTGCTTATTCTCCTCTTATCTAGCAGTTCTCAAAAATGTGGATAGCACTGTTCATGTTATTGTCTCTGATGAAATCTTATTTGTCCCTTAAATTGCAATTTCAGTGCCATCTATTTTGTTCTTTCTACAGCCACTTGAAGCAAAATTAATTGCTCCATCCTGTGCGCTCACATAGTATATTGTTCATTTTACTAATGTAGCCCTTGCCAAGTTGTCTTTTTTGTAGGTTTAACAGAGTTGTCTCTCCCAGGCACTGTCCAATACCGATGCCACTCCTAAATTTAAATGAATTAAAATGGAACGAAATTAAAAATTCATTCCATCAGTTGCACTTGCCATTTTAGAGATTCGACTTCCACATATGGCTGGTGGCTAGCAGATTGCAAAGCACAGATGTAGAACATTTCCATCACCGCAGAGTTCAACTGGAAGACACTGACTGTATTACCTGAGAGCAAAGCCTGTTTCTCTTTCTGTCATGAGGACATGTACAGTGTTTGGAAGCAGCTAAATCTTATCCTATTGGGCCATGCCATGACAAAAAGATAGGCCTTATGGGCACATTTAATGCTAAAATATGAAAGGTGGAACCATAACCAGTTGGTGAATTAAAGAATCACAACTTTAGAGGAAGACTGCAAAATGCCAAAGGTTCTTGGAGGTTGTAATAACAAAGGCATGGCCAGGGGTTAGATATTGGGAGAGTTAGCAAATCACAGCCAAAGTCACAGAAAATTTGTCAGATGAAATGTGGACACAAAAGCTGTAAATAAAAAAGATTTTCACAGATAGTGTTGTGTGCACCCCCTCTGAATGGTTGCAAACTTGGAGTTTAACTGGAAGCATAGCTAGTGCTCATTAACTGGGCCATAAAACAGGACAAAATGTAAATGAATATCTATATTTCAGGTAAAAATGTTGTTATAAACTACATATCCACTGAGAAGTGGGCAGGTCTAGAATGGGCCGTGTCTTCCATCAGCAATTTTCATAGTCTAGATGGAGAGATAAACATGGATGCACAGCTAGCTCAGCAGGACAATGCTTTTAAAATTAAGAAAAGATGGGGCCACTAAGAAGAGTGATTCATTCTGCTCTGTTTTCAATGGGCTCGTTTCCCCCAATACAAACCCAATTTGTGCTGTGCAGGTGCAGAGGTGTTTGTCGGAGGGATGGACACCCTCTCTATGAACATACTTTACTTTTGCTTCATGTAATCTGAGCCTCACCTTCTCATTACAGTCCCAAAAGACGCCTCCATGTTCCCAACTCCAGGCCAACTTCACCCTTCAGTACTTGTACAACTCTCCTTTCACCTATAGTAAATCATTCAGCCAGTGTTGGTGGAACACCTGCTAAAAAATCTGCCTCCTGGTGGGTGTTTTGGAAGAGAACTTGTATGATTCCTTGTCCTCAAAGTAGCATAGAATTCTGATAAGAAAAGCAGAAGAACTCACTTACAATATCATCACCAAATCAGTACAGTTATGCTAAGCATCACATGAATGGTATAGACATTAAGTATTGGGTCAGTTCATAGGAGCTAGGGATGTTTGCCAGCTGGTGCGATCCAGCTGTTGTGAATAATCAGCATAAAGATGCCTAGGGGGATGGGAGCAGGTCAGTTTTCTGAGCCTTTCCTGCTAAAGTGAGCCATTCCAGGCAGTAAGGAAACTGACTCCAGTAAGAGTCTCTTTCTGCTTTGTTTTTTAGAAGAGTGCTGGCAAGTGGGTTCCCTGTTGTAATTCAATGACCAGCAGCTTGACATAACTGTCAGACTGTCATTTCGAGGACTGGGGGTGTGGGAGGCATCAACTGGCTGTGAATTAGGTCCTTTGGAAAGCTGCCGAAATTGTTTAGGTACACAAAATACCATTAGGGTGTTTAGTTGTTGTACATTACAAAAGGTTCCTTTATTAATCGTGTGCTTGGGAGAAATCTAGAGTCTTGTAACTTACTTGTAATTCAGGGCAACACGGAGTAAGGTCTGAGCCAGGTGGAGACCTTTCCTGCATTTCATAATGACAACCTGGTGGGATTCTTGGAGATGAAATTCCCAGGACTATGACTCTAAGACTGCTCCAGGAGCTTCTCAATTCAAATTTGCATTCAGTCTTGAGACATTCATCAAAATCACCATTGAAATGTTCTGCCAGTTTATGGATAGTGTGGCAGCAGCTTGTTTTCCAGGTAAACAGATTTAGTCCAAGAGTCTCTTGAGGTGTGGAGCGTTGAGGATATATATTTTGATTATTTGACCTGGATGGATCTCGGTGTGATCTAGATTTTGCGCGTGTAATTCTCCTCACATGAAAATCGCCGTCGGCTCTAAAACTTGACTTGCTTTTCAAACTTTTCGTGTACACTTGCTGTAGGTAACAGAAGGAACAATGAACTTTGAATTACTTTTTGCATTTAATGAGTCCTTCCTGTTCTGTTTTATTTTTTGGTCTTATGACAGCAATTTCTTGCAATTACACAAGAAAACCCTGAAAAACTATATAATTTTTTCATATCTGTAATTCTTTAACTTATTGCTTTATGATAACATCATAAAAGGGTTTATTGAGACTGAGTGAAGTTTAGATTAAATATAGTTAGAGGGTGATGATGTTTCTATAAATATAAATAATATAATATGGTTTGGTTATGAACACCAATTCCATGTGTGAAAATGAAGAAACCCTTTTGAAGTGCAACAAAGAAAAATGCACTTACCCCGGGCTTCTAATATACCCTCTGTTTTCTTTCTTTGTTTATAACATCTGCCTTTTCTTCTCCAGAGCCCATGATATTTTGGGTTATACGCAGGTTCACCTAGGAATGTATATTTCTTTTGATTAGAATTTTCACCCAAATCACCTCTGGATATGCAACTGTTCAAATTTCTACTTGTAGTAGAGAGATAATTAAAAATGCAGCTCCAAAGTCCAACAGTCTGGGCTTAAATCTTGGGCTGTGTTGTACACGAACTCCATGTCCTTGGACAGGCTTTGCAGACTCTATACACCTCAATCTCTTCATATTTCAGATTTATAAGAGAGCGGGGAGGATTCAGTGCTTGCATTCAGTATGGTCTCAGTACTCTTAGCAGCAACAGCAGCACTCAGAGTGTCTCGACACTGGCTTCTCAACACTACACCACCCTGAAGTACCAGGCCCAGGGCCATCAAGCTCTTCCCGGTTTCTTGAAGTATCTGATATAGCTGCTGATGACTCAGGAGAGACTTTTCTCTACATTGCTTTGCATTCTGTGGTATCTCAGCCGGAGACAATTTTAGTTATTTTTATTTTTACTAGAAAGGAGACATTTTCTGGTTTGAATAAAAAATGGAAAAAACCACTTTCTCTCTCATGTGTCTCCCATACCTACACCCTTTGCAGTTAATAGCTGACTGTTTTTTCCCCAAATTGTAGCATTCCCAAGGAACTCCTGTGTGAATAAAATAGCCCGGGAGAGTTAATTTTCTTGTTGCTTCACATTGTATGCAGGCTACACTTACACTGCCCAAGTATTCACTTTTCATTCACGTATGTTTTTGATGTATAATAATTACATTCCTTTTAGGATATCGGGACATAAATGTAAACATCTTAATCATTTTTTCCCCTTCCCCTCCCTGAATTGATTTGATTACTCTAAGGTTTTTGCAAAGACCCTAGCTGTTTCCAGGCAAAAGTATGGAGATGATGAAGCTTGAGTTTATCCTTTTGCAACATTTTGTCTTTTTTCTTTTAAAATTTTTTATTGTGGGGAGTTGGTACATGTATACAACACATTTTAAGGCTTTTGGTATTGTTTTCCCATATTTTTTCTTTATCTCAGCTCCGTAGGTTTCACTAAAATTATGTGTCTTTAATTTGGCAGGTAGTCCTGAATCCATCTACAACCCCACCATGTATAGCCTGTTTTTTTGTTTTGTTTTGTTTTGTTTTGTACGGAGAATTGAACTCAGGACCTTGCACTTGCCAGACAGGTGCTTGTGCTGCTGAGCTACATCCCTGGCCCTAGGCTGTTCTTAACAAGGATGGAAGCTGAACTTTTAATGCAGGGGTTAACATGTTTTGCTTCTTTTCCAGGAAAAATTTCACCAAGGAATAAAAGAAAATGATAATGCGGAACAAGCCAAGGAAGTGAAGAGACAGGCATCTAGTGTACGCTGCGTATGCCCATGTGGATGGTGCCCTCCTGTGTTAACCTTTACCGTCTCTTGCCATTGCAGCTCCCAAGGCGGGGTGGGCTTTGGTTGTTTTACAGATGATAAACTACAGACTCACGGAAGTGGAGGACTTTCCTAAAGTTACCCAGCTAAGAAGTGGTAGAGCCAGAACCAAAGTCCTCAAAGACATTGGCTGCATTATACATCATACCCAGGGCAGTGGAATATATAGTGTCAGCCCTCGGTGTCCACGGGTTCCTCATTTCCAGTTGAAACCAACCATGGATTGAAAATATTTGAGGAAAAAATTGTGCCTGTTGAACATGCACAGACTTTTTCTCTTATTGTTCTCTAACACTAGTATGACAATTATCTACTTGGTATTTACACGGTATTAGGTACATACTCTGAGAGTAGGTGATGTATATGGTAGAACGTACTTAGGTTATATGCAAATGCTACATTATTTTATACAAGGGACTTAAGCATCCATGGGTCTTGGTACCCATGGTGTCCTGGAACAAGTCCCTGCAAGATGCCTGGGGATGACTGCCCACACTGGTGCTGGAGGCTGTAGGCTGTAGGGAGACTGGTCCGTAGGCATGTCCTGCATATGAGGTCCTATTTTCTGCTGTCAGCTATGGGGGGTGAGGTTGGAAAGGGTTAACAGATGGTTTGCAGCTCCTTGGAGAACCCTGCTGAGCTTTGTACAGTAAAATAATAAAGTTCCAATTTGGGAGCGAATTTGCTACTGTGACACTAATACCGCCCCAGGCTATTAGAGGATTAGATGAGCACAAAGCTTTATGAGCCATGACTGTGGCGCTGGAGGGTGACTCAGCGTGTCGGGCGCTGGGAGGATAGCTGTTAATTGGAACTGCAGAGAAGGAGCCGGGTTTGGCAGATCGAGTTTAAATGGGTGGATTGTCTGGCGGAGACTGTCTCTGTTCTCTCTTGGCTTTGGTTCAATTGTACAGCCAGACTGTCCTCCCGGCTGCACTTTGCTTGAAGTGCTTTTCTTTTCATTTCCTTTCTTTTCTCTTCTCATCCTTTATTCTGTCTCTCCCTGCCCGCTCCCTCACTTCTTTCTCTCCTTCCTTTCCGCCAGTTGATGGGTGGCTCCAATTTTCATATGAGATTTGGCAAGTAAGAAGCTACAGCGGTGTCGCCAACTTTTATCCTCTGCCCCTGTAAAATCTCTGAAACCCTCCAACAATTTTGACCTTATTTCCTCCTGCAATCAGCACAGTCTCAGCCTCTTTCCCCCTTGGCCAGAGAGCAGTCATTGTCGGATGGCAAGCTTATCTCCAGGGCAGTCCAATCCAGCAAGTGTTTATTAGGTACCTTGTGAGATGGAATGAGCCAGGACGTGATACCTGAAGGCCGGAGTTCAAGGACCACTTTTACTACCTGGATAAATAAGTTGATTGCCTGAGCCTGACCTTCCTCCTTTGTAAAATGAGGACTATAGAAATAATATTCAGCTGGTTGGCTGGCCGTTAGCCTGTGCATTTAAAAGGCACCTATGAAATGAAGTAATAAAAATTCAAACAAACAAACAAAACCTGAATAACTTCTCAACATTTATGAACATCAAGAATCACAGGTCCATGAATCTTGAAAGAAGTGTTTAATTTCCTTCAGTTAGACAGCCTCTGTTTGTCTTTTAAATTCATCAGATTGCGATCTCTGCGTGGTCATTTATGTTCCAAATAATGTAGGCAGTGAGGGAGATAGACAGAATGCCCTGACCTTGGGGAGATTAGTATGACTTTGGAGAAAGTTACTTCATTTCTCTGAGACTCAGTATCTCTGGTTCTAAAATCCATTCCTGACTTATGGGGCTATTATTAAAACTAGGGGTGTTAATGCCCATAAGATGCCTTCCATAGGAGCTGGTACACAGAAGGGGCCATAACTCATGGCTTTCGATTTTTTCCCATCTTCTCATTTTTATTGTTTGTTTCCTCCTTCTTTACTAGGTTCAGAAAGGAGGGTTTGGAAAGTACTCCTTGAAAATGGCAGGAATTAGTCAAGTTTCCTTCTCTCATTAAAAAAAAAAAAAAGATAATATAGTTAATGTAGTTTGGGTTTCCTCTAGGTCACAAAGTCAGATAGCATGATAAATCTCCTAACAAACACAGTTAACTCTGCTGATTTTGATCCCCAGATCCATTCTAGTAACTCTTTCTTATGATAGCTAACCTTTCATATCATACTGTTTTTGGAGGCTTTTATTTTAGAAAAAAAATATGTAGTTTTCCTATGTGAAAGATGTGAATTTATCTCTTTCTCCATGTACCTCATTAGTCTCTGGTGGCTGCTCTAAGAAATGACCTTAGAATTGGTGGCTTTACAACTAGAAACCATACTCATAAGTGAAATAAATCAGATATGCATGTGCAAGCACTGCATTGTCTCACTAGTGTAAAACTTGAAAGAGTTAATAAAAACTTGGAGGTATGATAGACATTGTGAAATGAAAGGAAAACTCTCAAGGGAAAAGGGCAACTGGGATGTGGGAAAAGAGAAGGGAAAGAAGGAGAAATTTTTCATGTAAGTATATACAGGGTAGTTAACATAGTTGATCTACTGTCTTCTGTTTCTTTGCTGAAAGAAACTGTTAATGAGTCCTTGATTGATCAATATTGCATGTCTCTGTTCTCATGAGAAACCACTTTGAAGATATCAATATGTAACAGAACAAGCATTGTTAATTTCTTACCATTTTGTTTGTAACTCTGTATTGTTTGTATTGTTCTTTTGCTATTTTGTAAATGGTTGTCTGTCTGTTAATGTTTTCCTCCTTTTATTTTTAAAATAAAAAAAAAAAAGAAATCAGAATTAGTGGCTTTAAACAATAGAAAATTTTCTTTACTTGTTCAGAAGTCCAAAGTCAGTCTCATAGGACCAAAATCAAGGTGTTAGCAGGGGTGGTCTTCATCCAGAGGCACTAAGGTACAACTGTTACCTACCTCTTTCAGCTTCTGGTGGTTACCAGCATTCCTTGGGCTGTGGCCACATCAGTCTAATCTGTGCTTCTGTCTTCATATTGCTGTGCTTCCACTGTTTGTCTGCTGAATCTCCCTCTGTCTCCTGTTGTACAAATGCATGTAACTGCGTTAAGACTCACTTTGGTAATTCCAACCTCAAAATCCTTAATTGAGTCACATCTGCAAAGTCCCTCCCTTTATAAGAGTAATGTAATCCTTACTGACTTCAGCCATTAGGACTCAATATACTACTTCCTTCACTGACGATGAATTTATTGAATGCTTTTGCTCCACTAGTATTTGATGTTAGCATTCCTTTGTTTATATAAATATTGTTTATACCTGAGCCATGTGCTATTTTCAATCTTATGTAAAATACATGTTTTCTCATTGGAATAAATCATTTTCTTAATTTTTATTTTGTGTTAGTTCTCTAGGGACCCTTCACTAAATTAGACCTGATTTTTCTAACAGAATCATACTGTTGTAGTCAGGATTTATAAGGGGAAAGACTTAATGTAGGACACATAATTTATAGAATTCTTTTATAATATTCACCCAAAGAGTCAATGCAAAAGAATGTGGGCGATCTGTCTACACACTAGAGACCTAAAGGATCCAGGTGAGGGGCTGGATCCAGTGACAATTTCCTGCATGAGTCCAGCTGAAGACATAGAGCTCATGGCAGTGTCCTCCAAGAGTCCAGCTGGAAGCTAGAGCCCATGACAATGTCTCATGCAAGTGTGTGTCAAGAATCTGCCCTGGGAAGGCCCAAAGGCCAGTGGTGGAAGCTAGAAAGTCTTCAGCAGTGGGATAAAGGATCTATGCCAGAAGACTGAGGGATCTGCACTGGAGTCAGGAAATTATACTCCAAGTAAGGACCAGAGCTTCTCCAAAGAGAACTGCTACCATCCTTAGTGACAGCAGGGATCCAAGCTCCTCTGAGGATGAGAACAAGTGAGTTCATATCAGGAAAGCCAGCATGACAAGCTTCTCCAGGAAAATCAACAGGATACCATCTTCCCCTCCAGTTCCCTTTTATGCTGTTGGCAACAGTCCTCAGGTGGGCCTTCTACATCTAGAACCATGCTGATTCAGTTCAGCTGGATGTTACTAGTTGACCAGTAGATAATCCACCACACATACATTTTCTCAGCATGGTTAAGTATATCTCAGAATCTGTCATTCTTCTCTTTGTAAGTTGGATACTCCCTTCTGTGGACTCCTCCCTCTTGCTCTAACCTGATCACCTGCTCACTCATTCTATGGCTCACCTATCATCCAAGACTTCTGTCCACCATTGTCCTAGTTTTCTTTCATCCCTCATCTATGTTGTAGCTCTATTTTATGGATTCCCTGTATCTTTTCTTCAGGGCTAACTCCTGGAAGTGCAGTAAAGATAATTAATCTTGGTAGAATAACATGTAGTGATTGGGTACTTGTGGCATGACTTTTAGGAGACCCCCTTTCTCTGAAAATTCCACCTTCATTTCTCGTTGGTAGGTTGAATACAGGATCAAGAGTATGCCAAACCAATCACAGCATTCTTTAAGGGCTTGCTTCCCACTTGTGGTGGTACAAAGTACACTACCAGCTGGGTTTGGCCAGAAAGCAGAAGTTATGATATTAATTGTAAAGGGGTAATATAATGGAAGGCAAGTTAAACGGCAATGGAGAACACTATGAAGCAACCCTGAGCAGGATTTAAATTAATTAATTGGCTTTTCACGCTCACTTGTGAATCTGCCCAAGGCCTAGTCTCCTTGTCTGGAGATGTGCGGCAGACTCATAGCAAGTGAACATCTGTGAGTCACTAATCCTTACTAAACCCTGTAATGACAATGAAGCCGGAAAGCCTCAAAGAATAAGACAAGATCACAGCCAAGGATACCTGGATCCAATCTCAACTAGATAAAGACTATAGCCTCAGGTATCTCACACTTGGGTGGATTAGTTTAATCCTTACTAAGGATTAATTTAATACCTTACTTGGAGAAGTCCTTGAGTGATTCTGCTCTTCTTGAGTACTCCCCTCCCTTCTTCATAACCAAATAAATGCAGGCCACCCAAAGAAGGTCTTGGTCTTAGCGAATTGTGTGAGAGGGCTTTGATCCTCCTGGAGCTCTGAAATCATTCCATTTGCCTCTTTTTATTTAGCCTTCATCATACACTTGTTCGGGAGATTGCAGACCTGATCAGACCACAATAACTGAGGGATATTATTAACCAGATAAAATGGGTATTGAAGAACTGAACAAGGAAGAGGAAACACTAAAGTGACACAAAGACACTCACTCCAAGAAGCTGCCAGCACACTTGGGGCAATATGATGAGTGGAGGAGGAACCATCAAGACCTGGAGGTTTGAAAGATGCTGCCTGGGGCCAAGATCAAGGTCCCCGAGGAGGAGGTGCTACCATGCAGTGTCAAGACCTTACATGAGATCATCTCTGCCATCATGGAAAAGTGAAATACATGAAGCCTGGAGACCCACTGACTGCCTCAGTTATCGCAGAGATGATGCTGATGTGAATAGAAAGAAATAAAAGAAATAAATAATAGCTTTCTTCCTTACCCAGTCTCCAGACCCCTAACATGCCCCTTGTCAGCAGACTGTACTGGGACACCAGTTTGCAGAGAAGAATGCAGTTGGCGAATCCCACCAGAGTGGGTTGGGACTGGGAGGCAACAGCTCAGTGCCTGGCAGTCATTTTCCCTCCTAATTGTAGGGAGTTCTAGCATTTCCTTTGTAAGCTCGATGTTATGAAATATTGTTATGGTTTGTGTCTGCATGTCCCCCGAAATCCTCATGTAGTCATGGGGTGGGCTTTTAGAGTTTGTGATTTTTCCATGATCCAATGCTGGGAAACTACACCCACCCTGGGGTGGATAGTTTGGATATGTAAGGGAGGGAAAGAGGCTGCTTGCCACTGCTCCTCCCTTTCGCTCTTGTTGCTTTTTGCTGTGTTCCACCACCATGAACTGTTGCCCTCTGCCATGTGCCACTCTGCCATGGAGCCAGCCTAGTATGGAGTGAAATCTCCACAAACTGTGAGCTAAATAAACCTTTCCTTCCTTAATTTTGGATGTCAAGTATTTTATCTTGGCAACGAGAGAAAAGCAACCAAGAGAAATGTCACAAGAGGTACCTAGGGAAGGATTTTTTTTTCTTTCAGTATCAATGCTGGGTGTTTGGTGAGTCCTTTAGACTTGGAAACTGCTGAATTTTAGGAAAATTTCTTGCATCTCAACTTTGGGAAACTTTACCTTTTCCATTTTGTTTCTAGGGTTCCTCCCATATGTCTCCTTGAACTCTTGGACTGATTGTCTAATTTGCTTATCTCTTTGCCTTGCATGCCTTATCTTCTTTTCCTGTTGTACTTACCTGAAATTTCCACAGCTTTCTACCCTAACCACTTCAGATTAAACAAAAAATTCTCTTAGCATATTTAAAAAATTCCCAAGATCTCTTTCTGACTCTTCCTTCTTAAACATCATCCCATCCTTTTTTTGTAGATCTTCATCTAATTCCATCCTATCTTGTACCTGTTAAATACAATGCCTTAATGTTGATTTTCCTTCTAAATTTGCCATCTTTTTTGGTCTGTCTCTTGTGTTATAGGTGTTCGTCAAATCTCAGATACTCACAGGCCGCCCCTGTGAGTATGAAGTACTGGTAGGCTGAGGGAGACTTCCGTGTGTGGGCTGGGCTTTCTGATCACTGCATCTCACTACAGGAGGTAAGGTAGGAATCTGGATCATATGCTAAGGCTAAAGTATCACTACCTATAGGTCTCCTCCCTTGTCCTTGGATATGTTGTGTCTATCAGAGATGAGCTCTTTACTAGTCAGCCTGGGACCTGTAAACTAAAAAGAAATCTTTAAAAGAGGAGTGGCTGTCACTTTTCTAAGAGTTAACGGGGCCAAGATGGACTGGGTCTGTGTTCTACGCTCCTGCTCTCAACTGTGCCTAATACTCCTTTTTCCAGAGACTTCTCATATAATCTGTTTAGAGATTAAGTTTCCTATCTTCTTCCAAGATGGTAGATGACAATGTTTTAGGCTGTTCCAATA